AACCGTTGATTGATGCGCTGTCCTCTAGTCTCTGATCTCCACTATCGCATTCGTGAATTTAAACCGAAAACCTTTGCCCTTACAACCATCTCCATATATATCATAGTTTATATGCTCGGATTTTTTACTACGATCTTTTGGGGTCAATTTTTTGAAAGAAATACTCATGGACTACAGGCAATTGAGCGTGTCTAGACGGTACAAAAAAGGCTGCTGCTAAACACTGTACTCACGTTACTGTCTACATTTACAAATGTAAATTTTTATCAATAAAATAACATAAAGTGGCCAACAGTTAATTATTTGTTGGTTTTTTTTTCAAAAGTGAGCTTTAAGTGAGAAATATTAACTGAGTTGATAAACTTATATATACATATATACATCAGGAGAAAATTATTTTCTATTTGATTCAAAATAAAATATTTAATAAAAGTAAATAAATGCAGTGATGTGAAGTTATTAAAGAAAATGTTTTTAAATATTTGTGAGGAATCAAAGAGATATTTACAATTTTTTTCTCGTTCAAAGAGAGTATTTCTTTACTACTTGAAAATTTTTACAATTTTTTTACAATTCAAAAGGATGTATGTACGAGGAACTGAATTATCTGAAAAAGTATCCTCTAAAATTTTATTTCATTTTTTACGTTTGTATCTTTTCCAGTTTATATTTACCATATGCACATCAAGTAAACTTACTTACTACTTGCTTTTAAACCTCTTTTACATTCGAGACGCTAATAGTAAAAGCAATATTATTGCTCATTTATTATTTATGAGAACAACACAAAAAAACCGAACGTCCTTCTTACATCCAAGGTTTCAATTATTAGTGTGCAATATTTATTACACTTTTATACTTTCAATAATTTACGGTTTTGCATATAAATAATAAAAAAATTAATAAATACTCCTTAAACTTTGAACTTTTATAATAGACATTGTTAAGTAATGTACTTTATTACTTTCGTGATTGTAATTTTCCGTAAATCTACAATAACATGAACTAAAGTCAATGTGGTTAGTGAAGAAAAAACATTTTGAATTTATTAATTAAACGCAAATAATTAAACTTTATATCAAGTTTTAATTAATACGAGGTAAATTTTCAATTAAACTCTTGTTTAACTGTGATGTAAATATTCATTAACAATTAATTAATCAATTATTTTCATCTTTGTGTATCATTATTATTATGTAAATTTTTCTATGGATAAATAAATAATAAGAAATATTAACAATTTGCTCTTCATATCTATTAAGACATTTTATTAGTAATGAAAAGATTCATTGCAAATATTAAATAAACAGAACGTTTTTCTAACTAATTTTTTTTTATCTAACAATAAGACTGGAATAATTTAGTAACTTATCTCATTTACACTGACTTAAATAGTCATAATGAAACGTAATTTACTTTTTTAAAACTAAATTATAAGATAAATTTTAAAATTAATGAAATAAAATAACTATTTCTGTTATAAAAATGATTATTAGTTATCATAAAAGGAAAAATTTTAATTTTTTTCAATAAAACTGTCAAGAAGTCATGATGTCTAAGTATTTGTATTTTTCTTCCAGCTCTTTTTATCTATGAACAATTTAAAAGTATCCAGACTTTACTTTTATTACATTTACATAAATGCATTTCTCTCAGAAGAGGTATCATTGATCATCATTATTGAATCAGAATTTTCGACAAGTCTCGACAGTGGAGTTTGAATTTCTCTAAAATCGTTTAAAGTTTGTTCGACCGCGGGCAAAAGTTTCTCGAAACTAGAATTGAAAATTTCATAGCGAGACAGAAGCATTCAATTTTTATTGAGAAAAATTGAGAGAACAAAGAGAAATGAATATTACAAAGGACAAGCGGGTTTTAAATAAAAATAATTTGGTTCTGTTGTCTATCTTGTGTTGTTTGGTCGCTGTGAATACCAATATAGAAAATCTGTCAGGCATGTTTGATTAATTATTAGGTAAACTAAAAATATAAAAAGCCCTGAGAGTATTGTGTCCAATCGTACCGCAGAGTATTTTATGGTTTTCTAACTTTTCTCAGCTGCAAACAAAATGTTAATTAACTGTCGGTTACGTATAAAAGCTTGTCGGCATAGGTATAAACTCTGGTGAAAAATCTCTTCATTATAAGTTTCTTCAAGATTTTAACAACGAAAAAAAATCAAGGACCAAAGACCAACGGACTTATCCGTTCTTCGCGTGCATTGTCCTCTCAGAAAAATGGTCGTTGAGATTCTGTTGTCCGCGTTTACTTTTTCTGTGCTTTACTTCTTCGTTATGCTAAACGCGACTTGAAAAATTACAAAAGTTTCGTTTTTATAACAACTGCTTTTTGAATGAAAATATATTCTTATGTTGTCAAAAGCAGTCTTTTGGTACTAGAATGGTTATAATATATTGCTGGACACTTACCAACACATTGTTTTAATATTAATTACTTTTTAAATAGTATTTTAATTATTTTCCTCAAACATAACAAATAAAAAATAGTACAAATATACGCTCAAGCTGTGATACAAATAAATTTTTCATTATTTAACTCTGAATGACGTTTGAAAATAAACAGAAAAATTTATTGATATTTTTTTTTTAACACAGAATTAATTTGATAAATTTGCTGATTGAATTATGAATAAAATTTATTTAATAAAACAATTTGAAAAATGGATTGTTCAATTTTAATAAAAAAACCATTTTAATACTTTGTAAAGAATTTATTTAAAAATAAAATAAATTTCATGTTTTAATTAATTGATTACTTTGATTTGTTTATTCAACTAGTCTGTCATTGATTTATTGAATAAATCCATCAAGTCATCCCACTATTTATCAAGTAATCCAATTTCTTTAAAAAAAAGCAAGTCGAAACAATTTTTTCATGAGTGTTTTACATGAAAAAATCAACAAACAACAAAAATATGCACCCTTGAATACTGTTATTAATGTTATCTACTATATTCTCACTAGATAAATAACAGAGCGGAAAGACTCATGAGTCTAGGAAGTTCTCATTTTCCAAGAGGCAAAATTTTCTGAATCAAAAGTCACGGCAAATCATAGGAAGCTTTTCCTGCACTATCTTTTATTAAAACCTCCTCATGGGTTTCTTTCTTATGACGCAGCCATGACAGAATCATCATTTCCGGTCAGTGATGACCATCTTTCTGGTTCTCTGTCTTTTTCGGTATTTTAGGGTGTCTTCCAGGCTGTGCCATTCAATTAAGTTTATCTCTAGAACGTTTTAGGGTGACACGATGTGTATATCTATATAGATATTGGATTGTCCACGAGGGTGTCTTGTGCCCAACCATATCCTCCTACGCTTGCACTGCCTAGTGTGCGTATAAATTGTTATGTGACTTATCTACAACATAGATCTTGGACGCTCTGTACTGATAGTGTCAGTTGGGTAAATTAGAAGCGCAGGACAAGGTTCACCAAATTTACAAAGTCTGGATCATTTCCCATTTGAAATCATTCTAGTGCTTTCATTTTCATGATGGAATTAAAAAAAAAAGCAAAGGGGAAATGTTTCTTCTGGCACGTGAAGTTGTACTAATGTTACCGGAAGTCGTGGTGGCTAACCGAGACAGGAAAAATCGTACACCGTCTGCGACCAACGATGCGAAAGCAAGTCTCGCTTTTGACGGTCGAAGGGGAATGTTGGAACGTGAATTATGAAACCTTAGTGTAATAACCCGTGGAAATTGCTTTAGACACCTTGCACCAATTGATTTCTTTAAAAGTTCGTATATCCATTTTTCTAGTCATTTCCATTATCTATTGTTCATCGACTTGACGCCAATATCAACTTTTTTATCCAAAAAAATTCTTTTTCAGTCCAAAAAATTATAATTATATTTTCTTAATAAATATTCGTATAAGCAATTGCTTGATTGTTCACACTTTTTTCTTAATCAACATTAAAATGACAGCAATAGGGGTTACAATTTTTTAAAAGTAATCTTGCAGAAAGTTTATCAATAGTTTTGAATTAAATTCAATTGTTTTAAAGATGATAAAGAGGAAACTTTGTCTGAATCGTAAAAAATAAAATATTTCTAGCAATTTTTTTATTGTTCATTCATTATTGATTTTATTATAAAAAAGTATTCTTACTACTATTCTTTTAATTCTTAACCTAGACGATTCTTGAAACTTTTAATACCCAATAATTTACTAATTCTAATAAAAATAAATTCAAACTCTTACAATAAAAATTTGAACAATAATATCAATATATTACTCAAATAATTCTCGATAACGTTCGAGAAAAGTTTTCATTTGATTATTATCGAACCCCTTAAAATTGTTAACCTAAAGCAAACTAAAACACAGTATCAGAGCCAATAAGGGAACTTTAAAGCAAGATTTACAGTATTGCGATATTAACACAGCTTTATATAGAAATTCACAGTTCTGTTAGTTTTTGACATTTGCAAATATAATCAATCGACAAAAGCGTTTGCGGTTCAAGGACGGATCAGTTCTGCGGTAAGGATATTGATCACAGAACTGTCGTGCAAGGAGGGATAATAAATTTGGTAGTGGTGGGTGAGATAACGGTTCAAAGCGCATACCAGTTAACTGATCATGAATGCGTATATCCAACAAGTAATCCCTACAGGTAGGTTTAGGAGAGAGTTCGTGTTCAAATAATCTTATGTTTGTAATTTCATGTAAGTGGATAAATCAACTGTCTTTACTTTAATGTATCTGCTTTAAAATGGTGACATAATATTCATACCTACGAGAGATGATTATAAAGTTGATCTTATCATATTCTCTCATGTTTTGAAAATGTCACTACGAATTTTTCAACACGCAGTCACACAGTTTATGAATTATTTATGACTGTATACTTTCATCGATCATCGACATCATTGACGAAATACTGCTATCTATTCAAATGCTAATGTCATGCTATTGGTCAATTGTAGTTATGACCTAATTTTACAGTTTGACATTAGGTTAAATACTGACCTTGTTGACTTGACGTTGCAGTTTGGTAATAGTGGCACGATCCCGTTGTGCGGCTGCCCTTTCATTTTGCAGAATTTTCTCTAATTCATGGACTCGCTCCTCTAAATTTTCCTGCAACAGATGATAATGATGATGATTAATTAGTGTGATTTATGTTGCTAACTTATTAATGAAGCAGGTCATGTTGTGTTCAAGTTACAGCTTGTGGTCATTAAATTTAATTAAAACTATTAAAACTATGTTATAAAATAATTTTGTTCGTTACTTTCTAATAAAATTCAGCAATAGGTATGTTGTAAATATTTTACGACCGTTGTGTTGTGATTATTTTTGTTCATTTAGATTGAGAATTAACATTTTTATTTTTACAATTATATTCTTATTAAATTTATTTACATATATCATTGTTATTATTGTATTATTATTGTTTAAAAAAATTTTTCAGTTACAATAATTGCATTTGTTAATTACAATGACAAAAGATGAAAAAAAATTTATATACTAAAATATATTTTCTATTAATATTTCTCCTCTTCTTCACCATAAAACTTCTCTTAAATAATTATGCAACAACTTTTCCAGCAGAAGAATCTTCTTAATATCTTTGAAACGACGTTTAAAGATCCTTTATTCCAGCATTCGTTAGCATAAGAATGCACCAATGATAACTCCAAGCATTCTTATCACCTAATAGTCACAGCTTCCCTCAATTTCCAGCTAAGCCCTTTCATTGGCTAATTACTATTTCAGTAGTTTTCAATAGGCAATATGATTATCCAAAAGTACCCGGCCATTTTGCGTCCATATGAGAAGCGAATGAGATTGTGACGAGTTATCCTTGTTCAAGAGAGCGAAGAGGATTCGCATGCAGAGTCACGTAGTTCCGATTCACCCTCACTTGGCAAAAGCACGTTTTACTACTCTCCTCCAACAGTGGTCCACCCTTAGCATCACCTCATCTCCAACAAGGGCGCGTGTAGCTGTTCTCGTTTGTTGGCAGCGAGAGGGTTTATCAGTGTACCCACTACCTCCACCAACTTACCCCGTTAACATTTTCCTATATCAGACCCATGGGATTAGTTTTCTGACCAAGTTTTAATGCGAAAAATCCTATTTGCGAATATGCTCCAGTTCTATTCACTCCCTCTTATTTTTTTATGTGATAGGGAAAGAAAGTTAACTGATTTGCGTATTTATTAGTTTATCCATGATGATCCAAAAAGTTTCTCAGGGTCCATTTACATGCCGAAATGTCGAATCACTGTTGAAACTCTTCTCTGGTGGCTCATTTTCGTGTCTCGTGTTATTAAACATTCCGGAATCTTCGGCGCCAAGTTTCAACACGAGCTCCAACACTTCATCAGCATGTTAGACATCCAGATCTCCGAGTTCGATGTGCTACAGTAATAGACAATCCCAGGGGAGTATGTGATGAGTGGTGACAATTTGTGCGACATTATTTACTGGTATATGCTAGAAAGTGAGTTTGCTTCAATATTACACATTGAGTTTCAGCCAACGAAGGATCTTGTCCTTCTTGACTCCCTTCATATCAAATACCACAGCTCGAGAAAGCTCTGAATATACGTGAAATAAGGTACTCGTCTACGTTGTACGACTTGCATTCACTTAGCTAATTTAACGAGCTATTAACATCAATGTGACTGTTGGAGACGGTATTTTCACTTGAACGTCATTTGTGCACCATCATCAACACTGCTACTTCTCCTCTGCTACATCTAAATACACCTCTTCAAGTTCAAAGCGTCGGTATTAATCGTGAGTTGCCTTTCGGCCACATCACCCTTCCTAATAACTTGTCTTTGAAGTGGAGCCGTTTTCCATTTTCACACGAAAATATATAAATAAGCGTGTTACGTTTCACGTTTAGGGTGAAACAAGCCTCAGGCCAAGCTCAACGCTTTACCTTCGTCATGACAATGGAATAAACGATTATTATTATTTTCTTTGCGTTTCTATTTCACGAGAATATTGCTTTTTTAACGTTATCCTTGATTTTTTTATTTTACTGATATGTTTGATTTGTGATTGCTGACGAGAGTAAAACATATATTGGTAAACAGTTTTTAATCAACATTTTATCCTTGTATAAAAGGATACAGCAAACATACGTGTTTCTCGTGAAGGGTTCGAAGAACCATATGAGCGTAATTAAAGCAAGTTTAATTATAACGTGGTTCTACAATTTCAAAGTTAATTGTTACAAATGTGTATCTGTAATTGACATCCTTTGTACCTGAAATCTAAGCATTTATTAACCTGTAAGGTCTCACCTTTGAAGCTATTCTAGAAAATATACAATAGAGAGACTAGTCTGATATAGACTGTAATATCATTTATTTAGACATTATTTGATAGCTATGTATGGGTTTATAGTTTATATTGTCTTTGGCATGATTGCCTTCTATTTTACATCAGAAACCAATTTAAAAATCTAATTACTTTTTTTTTCATTTCATGATTGAAAGATTTATTCATGACTTTAATTATTGGAAATTTTATAGAAGTTTGATAAATAATTTTTTTTTCATAAAATCAAATTTATAAAAATAATTGGCTATTATTTAATCATTGTTAATAACTTCATTTTAAAGATTAAATTGAAATGAAAATTTAAAATTTGAATAACATATTCAAACTTGATTGTTTTACACTTTTTCAAATTAATGAAATGTTTCGATCTTAGTTTAAAGAGTAATAAAATATTAAACTTGAAATATTATTCAGTTTATTGACATTTATGATTATATTCTAAGCTATAAATTGTTGGATTTTTCATCGAATTCTTGAAAATCTTTTCCACTTCAATTTTCATGATAAAGTTATTGATTTTTATTACTCCCAAAGGTATATTTTTGAACGATTTTTAAATTTAAGATTTGATGAAATTGAAGATTAAAAAGAATAATGGGATCGATTGGAAACTATTCGAAATTATTACAGAAAAAAGATCAAGGTTCTTGGTATGAGCACAGGGCGGAAGGGCCGTCGCGCCGGAAATCACCGCAATATTTTAAGAACCCCTTGGCATGATTCCCTTCTGCCAGTGTCGTATCTTGCGTGATTGTATGCCTCCTGCGGCGAGTCTTCGTATCCGGCGATAGATTTGCATAAAGTATCCCGCGGTTTGAGGAATCAATTTGAACCTTCATGCTTGGGCAACACAATCATTTTCTCTTTCTATCTCCTCTCCTTCTCTCTCTCTCTCTCTCTCTGGTTGTTACCCCTTTTCAAGTTTTACTCGCTTCCTGAGGTGTTTTCATGATAGAGATAGAACGTGCTTTACTTATATATAGACACTCTTAGCACTTCATTTGCCGTCTTAATGATTAATTCCTTCTCTTTCAATACGTCTGTTGTGATAAAGCCTGATAAGTAAATTCTACGTGAAAATTCATTTAAAAAATAAAAGATTAAGGAATAAAATTTTCAAAAAGTATTTCAGTTATTATTTTACGATCAATTTTTCATGGACGGTAGACTTTGAAAGCTCAATAAGACGAATTTACTTTAAGTTATTTATAGTTTTTATTTATACTTAAAGCAAGAAATGATAATTGAAGAGAAAAAAATGGCTAACATTTGAAATATTCTTTTTAAAATTGAATAGTTGAATCTGAAATAAAAATATTAAAAATTTCATTCATGGATTACAAGTGTCTAAAGATAAAAGTAAGTTTGTAACATTTTCAGCTGATAATTCAGTTGGAAAAAATGAGATGAAAGCGATAACAAATGCAAATTTGATGAAAAACTATGAATTTTAAAATATCACGCTTAAATCTAATTGAAAAATTTTTCCCATTTTATTTGAGTTTTTCAAAGTAATTTTAATTTTTTCAACTTTACACTATCGCATTAATAAATAATACAAATTTCAAAAGTGTCGCCATTAAAATGAGAAAATTTAAGATTCAAAATTTTATCAAACCAAAAAAAAAGATGATTTTTGGCAAACGATATAGCTGCTTGAAATTGATCCAACATTTGGAATATTTCACAACTATCTGTTAGCACTGAGTGTACCAAAAAACAGATTGGAAGTTATCTATTGCTGATATTCACAATTAAATTACGAGTCAGACAATGAATGTAATATTGAAAAATCAATTGCCTTTGAATATTCTCAGGGGAAAATCGCTGACTGGTAACGATAATAAATTCGATCTTAGTGAATCTGAGCCAGCGATATCTCTACTTCCCTCGATTATGTGCCAACCAAGAGTAGGAGAGGGTGCATTCTGAAAGGATAAAAGGAAAAGTCCAAAGTTCTTCTCTTTATTTTCACGACTTATATGGATTCTATGTATAACGTATCAGCTGAGCCCGATGGTAATAAAAAAGATAGCAATAGATAAGAAAAGGAAAAGCAGAAAAGTAACAAGTTTCTAAGAGTTTCAACACTGCAGTACCACCTGCCATATGGGTTACTCATGAACTGGGGTGTCTGTCTGATGATACCAAACCTCTTCATTTCTATTAGATTTGCTCTGTCAACTCCTCTTCCTCTATCTTCTTCTCTCGCTTTCCCTCGGTGTATTTTTTTGATACGAACCCTCACCAAGACCTATACCACTGCCTCAGCTCTCTCACTATTGTTCCGCTTCAAACTGAAAGCAACCCCTTAAAGACGCACCATCGGAACTCGCTCCACCCTCGAGCACAAGAGTTTGAAGGCAAACGTCGCACCATAGAGACATTGTGATGAAACTTTACGGTATTTCGGGGAATACTCTCTCTCGTCAGTTATCAAAAAATATTCCAGGCATTCAATATTACTTTTTATAAAGAAGGAATGCTTTGTATGCAACTCAAAATTATATGCAAAGACATTATTTATGTTGTCATCTCTAACTTTTTTAGGATTTCTCATTTTTAATAATATATTTTAGTCATGAAAATTATATGAATATTAAGAAAACTGCTTTTTTTATAATAATATTGTTATTTTAATAATAAATGTTAATTTAGTAAGATGTATTATCTTGCACTTAATTTTTTTTAATAAAAAAAAAGTTAAGACTCTGAGCTTTCATCGGTTATTTGATGGATGCTTTTAGCTGATTTCTTTCAAATTTAATAACTTCTTA